GACGCCCAGCGGGCGCCACGCCGCCTGGGACGAGCGCGCGAGCTGCACGCTCTCGCGCGCCTGGTCTGCTCAGGCCCCCGCCCCTGGAGGTGGGGCTCCGTGCAGTCGGCCCAGATTCGTAGGTCGACCCTGCCAAGTCAAGGGTACCCTTTTGTGTCCTGTGTCCCAAAGATCCAACGTATTGAAAAAATCAAGACCGACGTTTTTCGCAAATTTCAGCCTCTAGGGGCCCTCACCGAGCCCCGGGACCGTTAAAAAACGACTCAGGATGAAAAACTGGTCTCGGGGGATGGGTCGAACTTTCCGGGGACCCCGTATTGACAAAAAACACGACATCGGATTTCTGGGGTCTCGCGACCCATGCCTCCCACAGTCCTGCGGCAGTGTGGCCCTCGGGAGGGTCTTGTGCCCTCTCGCGTGTCCTGTCTAGTCGAGCCCGACTGCAGGTCCTCCAGGCCCAGAGCTGCGACGAGCCGAGTCTCTGGACTCCGGGCGTGTCTCTCCTGGGACCTGGGCCTCCGAGGGCCGCTTTTCCGGGCCCCCCGTGTGTGCTCTCGGAGTGCCTCCGCGGCGGGAGCCTGGGCCCTCGGGCAAGTGGCCTCCGGGCCCTCATCGGAGAGGCCCCTGGCGATCACTGGGGGCCGCAGGGCCAAAGGGAGGAGAAGCCAACCGAGCCCGACGAGTGGCGTGTACGAAGCGGCCCTGGGCGCTTCCCAGACGGCCCTGCCCTGTTCGATTCCTTCCTCGGGTGCGTTTGCTGAACGGCTTCGCCTGGGGGGGGGGGAGTGGATCTGCTGCCCCCTAGAGGGGGGCCGAGGAGACGGGCGAGGGGCCGCGGCGCCCGCGGAGAGGCCGACCCGCGGGCGCCGGGAGCTGACGTCTGCGTGGCCTTCCTTCTGGCTCTGCGCGCCAGAGGCTGCGGCCTCCGACGCCTGGCCTCGCAGCTCCGCGGCGCGCGCCAGCTACAGGGGCAGGCCTGCCTGCCTGCCTGCCCACCACCGGCCGGCCTGAGGTCGGACACGTCTCATTTACAGGAGAAGTCTTCAAAAAGCAGTCTAGATATACTTAGTCTGGGGACGCTCTTCGGACTCTTTTGGGCCGCTTTTTGTTGTCTGCTTGTCGTTACAACTCCGCCTGCAGGAGGACACGCCCGACTTAACAGCGGCTGGCCCATGGCGAGTGCTGCGGCGGTCGCGGCCAGCGCCGCGCACGGCAGAGCTCTGCGCCGTGGGCCCCTCCTGGGCGTCCTGCGCTCCGATCTTTCCGCGGCGTGGGCCTCCAGACCTCCGGGGCCATTGCTCCTCCTCCCCCTCCTCCTCCTCGCCTCCTCCTTCTCCATCCCCTCATCCTACTCCTCCTCCCCTCTTACCCCTCCTCCTCATCCCTCCTCCTCCCTCCTCTCCTACCCTCCTCCTCCTGCCTCCTCCTCTTCCTCCTCCTCTCCTCCTCCTCCTCCTCCTCCTTCCTCCTTCCTTCCCCCCTCCCTCCTCCTCCTCCTACTTCCTCCCTCCTACTCTCCCTCCTCCTCCTCTGCAGCTTCACTCCTCCTCCTCCTCATCTCCTCTTTTCCTCCTCCTCCTCCTCCTCACGCCTCCTCATCCTCCTCCTCCTCCTCCTCCCCTCCTCCTCCCCATCCTCCTCCTCCTCCTCTCCTCCTCCTCCTCCTCCTCCAACTCTTTCTCCTCCTCCTCCTCCTCCTCCTCCTCCTCCTCCTCCTTGGCCCCTTCCCCAGGGAGTTCTCTCGTCCCGTACAGTTTGTGTCGTTGTGGGGGCCTTCGCTGCAGGAAACACTGCGGCAGGGGAAGGTGGTCTTCCATGGAGTGCTCTCGAGGGGGAGCGCTTGCACTGCGTGTCCGAGTGGCACGCGTGATGTCGGATCGCGCTAGAGGGGTGTGCCTGTTGTGTGCGTGCAGTCGCACAGCTGGACCGAGGCACAAGATCGAGGTCGGCTCGGGAAGGGCACCCTAGTGCTCCTCGTGCTCGCTGGAGCTTCTGGTGCTCCCTGGGGATGGCACCCCTGGACGTTCTGTTTGCTCTGGCCCGCGGAGGGCCTCATGCTGTCTTGAGGGATGTTCTTTTGGCCCAGGTCCGACTGTGCTCGCACAACCGCCTCATCCCGTGGGGCGAGCCGCTCCCCGAGCTGCTCGGACGTGGCGTGGCGCGACGGGGCGCCCGTGGATGGCCCCGGGGCCCAAGAGGGCGGCCCCCGTCTGGAGCCCCAGAGGATGGCGACGCCCGCTGGCCGCCTCGAGGCGCCAGGGATGTGCTCGGGCGGGGGCGACCGCGGGGGGTGGAGAAGGAGGAGAAGGAGGAGGAGGAGGAGGAGGAGGAGGAAGAGGAGGAGGAGGAGAAGGAGCAGGAGGAGGAGGAGGAGGAAGAAGAGAAGGAGGAGGAGGAGGAGGAGGAGGAGGAGGAGAAAGAGGATGGTGATGATGATGATGATGATGATGATGATGATGATGATGATGATGATGATGATTATGATGATGATGATGATTAT